GCGCTTATCAGAGGCTGATCCAGATTATTGAAACCTGCCGCACTGTGACCGAGTGTGGGAAAAATTACAACTGCAAATACGATTACTGACTTAGCCGTACCATCATTTAAAGTTCATATGTTTTCAATGTATTGAAATAAAAAAAATCATAAATAATGTCTTCAGAATGTATTTCATCAAATCGTTCAACCATTTTCAAGTACTATTTCTTGTCGGCAGCGATAATTTTCCATTGATGATTTTCTCTCAGAGAAGCGATTAGGTCCAAACACTGTTTAGTCTGGGTAAATGCATGGAGAGTTGATAAAATCAACTCCCAAAAATTGCAAATTATATCATTTTCTGCTACAGTGAGGAATTGATAGCTTTTGTATTGTCACAGTAAACATTTTCCGTATTGATTAGAACTTGACCCCTTTTTGGAGCCTTTACAGTGCTGGGTTTTGGTCTATGTAATGCATGATACAAAATATAATGTTATCTGCTTAACATAATTTAATATTTACAGATGCCCACAATACAATCTAGGAGAGCTGTTTTTCCAGTAGACAATTGTCCGGGGAATATTTCTAAAGTTGAAAATGCTTCCAAAAGACTGAACTGTTCTGGAGTTGACAAGTTTGAAAACACATATCATTGTCTACCGTTGTCGGACTTGTCTCAGCTTGTGGAATTGTGCTACACAACCAGTTTTTTAATTGAAAAGGGTAAAATAAAGTGTTGTATGCTTATTCTGACTATGAAAACGAAAATTGTGCTATTTAATTGTTATTTTATTATAAAACAGCAATTCCTGTATATTTTTATATTATAATATCCCAGCAGGCATTTCAACGTTGATTCAACGTTGAATCAACGTTGCACTTCAACGTTGAATCAACGTTGAAATTTGGTTGCATATGAAAGTTGAGGCAACGTTGAAACATCAACGTTGTTTCAACGTCAATTTTAAACGTTGAATAGACGTTGAAAATGGGTTGAACTTTGGTTGATTTATAGTTGAATTTAGTTGCAAATGAAAGTTAAAGCAACGTTTAAACTTCAACGTTGTTTCAACGTCAAATATCAACATTGAAAAAAGGTTGAACATTGGTTGAAATTAGGTTGACTTTTGGTTGAAATTTTTGGTTGTACAAATGTTGATATTTGGTTGAAATCAGGTTGAAGTCATACTGAGTTTAGCTTTATAAACAAATACATTTCACATTCTAATAAAAGTATTTATTCAAGTTGCGAAATATGTAAGTTGTAATTCAGTATTAAGATTCTGTGTAAATTTATTTTAAACTGTATTTTAAAAACAAAGATAAATGCAGGATCCAATCACCGAATCTCAAAAATCACTGTTTAATAAAATTTATCTTCCTAGAGAAAAGGCAGTCACAGTAATCATATCCAGGTTCATCATGTCATGCATCTGTCTAAAACTTCCACAAAGTGGCGGATCCATTGATTTTAAATCACGCGCATTGTTACATGTAAGTCCCACAAAATGACTTGTCAGTCGGAAAGAAATGAACAGAAAGCTCCATCCTCTAATGTAAAACCTATTACCAAAAGAAATAATGACATGAAAGTCATTTATTTGATAACTTGTTATTTCAAATGATAAAAATATACATGAATAATTAAAAAAAAAGAAGACAAAAGTACATGTTCTTATACTTTGAATTAATGAAAAGAATTATATTTGTCCTCGTGTTAAAATTCATAACTGTAACAGTATGATTATAAATAATTATTACTGAAGAAAAATGTTAAAAACATGGAGGTGTACATATACAATGTTGCATTCCTTTGTAATTTTCACGGGCGATGAATCTCATCCAATCAGGGCATCAATTACGTCTCAAAGCCGCCAGTGGTTGATGGAACCTTACGGCCAACTGCAATTAAATTGTACACTATATTTTAATTTCATGTGCAAATGAATATCAACCAAACACATAAATACACAAACTAAGGATGTGCATTTCACGCAGATTAATTTAAACAATATTTTATTATGTATAATCATAATAAGGTTGGACAACAGGCACTGCCTGTATAAGTCCTCTCCATAATACAAGGTCAAAGTCATACATTTACAAGTAAATACTAGTTACATATCATTGAAAAAATAAATATATACATGTGTATATTCAAAAGAAATTTATAAAAATAAGACAAAATAAATGGTAGAAAATTAATTATAAGTGAGCTGATGATACAATATGTTTGCAGTTTAACATATATGACAAACAAAAATAATACAGGTATAAATGTGAAAGTTAATAAGAGCACATTAATAGATGCTGGTTCTGCATTTGACAATTTAAAGAAAGAAGAGAAACTCTCTTTGTAGATGTAATAAATTCATGAACAAGTTTAAATACTGCAATATTTTGGTTGTATGTAAGGTTATTGTCTCCATTCAAAATAAGTTGTCAGGATAAAGGCATTGGTAATTGCGAAGTATTTAAGTTTTGCATGCAGATTACAAATATGTTTACAAAACAAGAATAAAATGATGTATGGGTACTAGAAAATCTAAAATTTCTTCTAAATCCATGAAAAGGAAATTATACTTACTGAGCAGAAGTTGATAATCTAGCCTTAATCCTTGTGCATGGCGTGTAAAATACATAATATGTGAACAGCATGAAAACGCGCACTTCTTGGCCATCAGTTGAATTCAAATTTTGACCTAGATAAGTTGCAAACAACTTCTCTGTATCGCTGCCCAGCAAGAAAATTGCATAACAAGGTTATCATGACACTGAAACTGACCAGCTAAGCTAGAACCCATCTTATCTGATGCCTTGAAGATAAATTTGGGGAGTGGATCTAAGTAATTTAAACTGACCGGGGTTAAATTGTAAGTGTGAAAATTGTTAAACCTTTTTGTAACATGTTTATTTTAATGTTTTTATATTTTGTGATATGAAAGATTATAGTATTTAAAAAATAAGGTATCATTTTTAAACATCTATCGGGATATAAATACGGGTTGGTCACGAGATCAAATTCCATAAAGCCCGAAGGGCTTTATGGTAAATTTGATCTCGTACCAACCCGTATTTATAGCCCAATAGTTGTTTAAAAATGATACCTTATTACTCATATTTACATTTGTGACTTATTCATATTCTATATTTGCCTGATTATAATCTTTAACACGTGAAACATTTTATTTTTCAAACCCAACGGTACGTGTTTGATCCTCTGATTGCGCGTCGACCCTTTATGACGTCACTGAGAAATTACGTCGAACGTTTATGACGCGAGGAACCCGTGTTTATACGGATATAGATACGCATTGCTTTCAATAGTGTTATATAAAAGAAAACATTTGCAAATGTAAATATTATATCTAATACAGTTTCCTTTTTTTCCCTTTCATATAAATGCAACAAAAGCACAATCTAATGTAAAATGATACTTCTTAGATCCGCTCCGTATACATTCTGCGCAGAGTATACGGCACGGATCTAAGAAGTCTAATTTTAATTCGATTACATTAATTTGGAATAAATTGTTATTTTTATTAATTCTATAGTAACATGGAATTACAGTGAAGTATTGGATAAAGATGTCATTATTTATAAAAAGCTTATCTTAAGCACAAAAAAGTTTCTCTTTTTCATTTATATAAAAACACTGCATTCAGAATTAATTTACGAATTTAATCTTTTTTGAAACATGCAATTACAGTGGAGAGTTGAATATAGATGTCATACTTCATATTAACTCATATTAAACATTTTATTACAGTACTGTAAGCACAATTCTTTTGAATGAAATTTTAAATAAATTAATTCATAATACATTTCATTTATTGTGAATAATCATGATGTTTTCAAACAATGCATATAATATATATAGCAAAATATTACACTGATTTAGCTTTCAATAACCCTTACTATTTTGACCTTGAAAAATAATGCGCCTATACCCGTTGTTTCAACATTGAATTTTCCTCACTTTTTCAACGTTGAAAATATGTTGCATCCTCGATGTTGTTTCAACGTAAAAATATTAAAGAACATTCAAAGTTGAAAATTTGCTGCATTTTAACATCGCTTCGACCTTAAAATAACAGGAAATATTTAACGTTGAAAATATGTTGAATCTTCAACGTTGTTTCAACGTTGAAATATCGACAAACATTCAACGTTGAAAATATGTTGAATCTTCAACGTTGTTTCAACGTTGAAATATCGACGAACATTCAACGTTGAAAATATGCTGAATCTTCAACGTTGTTTCAACGTTGAAATATCGACGAACATTCAACGTTGAAAATATGTTGCATCGTCAACGTTGTTTCAACGTTGTAAAAAGGTTAAGGCTTCAAAGTTGAAAATATGTTGCATCGTCAACGTTGTTTCAACGTTGTTAAAAGGTTAAGGCTTCAACATTGAAAATATGTTGAATCTTCAACGTTGTTTCAACGTTGAAATATCGACGAACATTCAACGTTGAAAATATGTTGTATCTTCAACGTTGTTTCAACGTTGTAAAAAGGTTGAGGATTTAACGTTAAAACCTCAACGTTGAAACAACGTTGAACTGTAGTTGCTCAACGTTGCAACCTATATTCCACCTACTTTCAACGTTGAAACAACGTTGCGTGCCTGCTGGGATAAGTAGCATATTACATGCATTGTCTTCTTGCATTGTTTCCTCCGGTTTATTGTAATTAATTCTGCATGTAACCTACAGTTTTTTTTAAAAAAAGAAGAATCATGTTTAAGCCTAACGAGGATTCCATTACTTAGATCATATAATTTATACATTTATAAATGCTTTGTAATATCATTTTTTGTAACTCTTGTGTAGCATTACATCATTAATATTTTGACCGACAGGAAATTGCATGGTTCTACAATCCGGATATCTAAACAACCGATCATGTCTACATTTTAATGAAGGCTGTCCCAGCAAGCACTACCAATCCAAATTGATGTTGAAATGTAGGTGTTTTTCGAGTATTTGTAAATTTGCAAATCTCGTCAAATATGCCAGAATTGCGGTGAGACACAAAATGCAATAGTTCATAATAATTTAGCGTAGTGTACAGGTTCTTTCATTTAATTTGAATGATTCAAGAAATAATTTGACCGATTTAGTATCCAGATACTATGTCATAACATTTCATCCACAATTTGTTAAGATCTCAAGACGTAAAAATCTATAGAATTTTAAGAATATTCAATATGAATTACTTAAAATTTGAAATTAATGGTTCAACCTACAGATAATAGAGATTGAAAGTGATGGCGTTGTGTCTTTATTTAAATGAAATTATGATAAATTCTTAAAAGTTTTAAAATATATGTAAAAGTTTCTTTAAATTACCTTATAAATGTTTGTACACTCTTTTACGTTTTTGAGGCTTATGATCACAAATTTGCTCATTTCTACGTATTTAATTATTAGTGAGTAAGATAGCGAGGTAGTTAGCTATTTAGTTAGTTTGTTAATGAGCCAAATGACCGTGTCATCCGGTGTGCGTAAATCGTCATTAGAGGGAAAATTGGCGCAAAATAGTACATCGACCTCTGATGTGATTTTTCTTCGATAACGCATGCTCCACCACACACTCACAGACATGTCACATTATCCCCTCCAACTTCGTTGCGATGGGATAATTAAGACAGCTTTTAAATGTTAAGAAATTGGTTGAAAAAAGATTATAAATCTTTGGTTTCAAATTGACTGATTGTTATAAGAGACACGTTTGCTTGTTCGGGTTTCAGATGCTCCTTTATTTATAATAATATTTTACGTATTCATTCACCGCATCAACCATCTGTGTTCAATATTACATTCAACATCTATTGAAATTCATAATAATATTTCTTTATTCTCATAACATCTTTATTAATTATTTCGATAAATATACTGCATCGGCATTCTTTTATTCTAGAATTTTATTTCACAGGTCCAATGGTAAATATATGAAGATTTGTTTTTTCAAAAAAGTTATACATGCACAGATTTTATTAAATTACCTTTTAATGATTTTCACAACTGAATACGTAATCACTACCGTCGACCGCGTATCGCAGTGGTTAGAGCATCTCGAAGTAAGGACTGGATCCTAAAGTCGCGGGTTCAAATCCCACTATGCACTACGGGACGTGGAGACCAATCCTTCGGATGAGAGCATATAAACTATAGATCATACGTCCCGCAACACAGTAGGTGCTGGCATGAAAAAATTCCCCTCATTACTCAATGGCCCTAAGTACCAAGTATAAGTCTGAAATTTGCAGCCCTCTACCGGCAAGCATAAGTGAAAAAACTCTCAAAAGGAATGTCAAACAAACAAGCGTATCGGTACCTCCTTTGAACAGGGCATTAAAAATATACTGACACCCTCTGAAAAACTCGTTTTACATTTTTTTTTTATCTCTTTAAACCTTGGAAAATGAAAAAAAGATTATTGTAAATTTTCTTTTGAAATTGCTCAATTTTATTTAGAAAGATTTTACTTTGCTAGTTTTCAGATGTACTGCTCAATATTAATTAACATGTGTATTCATTTATAAAATCAATTACATGTAATCAGTATTTCAATCTTAGTATTTAAAAAAAGAACTCATGTGTTGTCATTGGTCAATTGAAAAACCTAGACTTTCTGATGAAAGTGTGATCTCTTTTTGACAGGCAGACAGAAAAATAAAACAAAACTAGGTGATCCCAACGTATGCGACTAACAAAAGAGTTGTTCTGAAAATCATCTATTCTGCATTAATAATTGAAAATGAATGCATACTATAAAGTCAAAAAAAAAAAAAAAAAAAAGGATTTAAGAGGACAAATGGATATTAAACTACATGTAGAGAGTATATTTCCTTCATCCTGATGTTTTATTAAATTTAGTGAAGAAAAACATTGGCTTATTTCGTCAGTATCTTGTGATGGAACTTAACGTTTCGTACAATTAAAACTTTTGATCATCGAAAAAAAATGTAATCCATATATAAAATTTGGTCTTGTCATAATCTATATTGAATTCCTATTTTTCTTCCCTGTCACGCTCAAAATGCATATAACCCCCCCCCCCCAAAAAAAAAAAAAAAATCCATATTTTTTGTAAAACATTCATTTGTAAATAGTCTGTAATTCTTAGGATGCATATATATTTTTTTTTTTTTTGTAAAATTTTAAGTTTTATTTATTCATCAATTAAATGTATATATTTTTTTTCAATCTCTCTATTTCGCTTTGTTAATTCTAAGATTTTATTTGGATTTTTCGTAAAGAAGAATATATTAATTATCTGTTTCATAAATGAAATGTCCATGACTGTTAGTCACATTAAATAAAAATAGTTTTGTTTCTCTAGTTCCAGCTTGCTCAGAAATCAACAAACAAAATAGATGTTATATAGCTGACCCTGCGTGTCCTATTTTAAACAGGTAGTTCTGCAATGAAATAATGATTTATCATAGATCATATAAGTTCTTCTTATTCATTAAGAACAACATAGCACAGAAATGTTACTTTGCTTCTAAAAGTAAATTACTTTTTTAGTGACTTGGACGCCACGACTTCCACTACTGCAATCAATGTCACGTTATCACAGACAACTTCTACCAATCTGGGATATACTTCTAGCGGTAAAGACTGGATAGTGATACTTTCAGGTGTAATAGGTGTACTTGTCATTGTATTTCACTGTGTGGCATTTTTTTTGAAATGGAAATGTCATCGTAAGGCCAGTGAAGAGGATACTGAAGGTAATTTTCTTATTTTTTTTTTTTTTTTTTTTTTTTTTTGTTTTTTATTTAATTTGCTTTCAGGTACGTGCATAAAATGTTATACATATAGAACAGGGATTTTTAAATAAACAAAGTTTTAAATAACGTTGAAAAGTTACTCTTGATTTTTTTACATCTCAAAATATTCAACAGAAAACAATTAGTATATAATGTTTTTTTTATTTGTAGATGAACCACTTTCTGTAGATGTACCTTATAAAAGTTGGAGAGATTCTAAGAAGAATCGAAATTCAGAAACGGAAGCTTTATTACAGGAGACAGTACATGAACAGCGGAGTAGAGGAGGTAAGTCGTGGAATTATCGAAAGTAAATACTAGTATCAGACACTGCATATTTGTCTTGTCCGTAATAAAAGTCTTAAACGAATGTACACCTTTATTTGGAACGATAACAATTTTAAATCAAAAAAATCATTTGAACTAGATCAGGATGAAAATCATGAAAACAGACTCTTTTATATATAAAATTTCGTTCCTGAAAATCAAATGATCCGTTTCAAGCACCCCCCCCCCCCTCCCTTTATGCAATCTGATAGAATCCAACAATAGAAAAAAGCGACGTCATTGTTTTGCAACAAAACGTGCAATCAAAATATATCGTGGACTGGCTGCATTTATTTTATATCAATGAATTTTCTTCCTCGTTTTAAAGCTGCACAAGAAATAAATCAGAATGGATTTATTTATATTGCACAATATGCTCTCTGCGTATTTCCCTCCTTGGGAATTGCCTACATTACGCAGCGTACCGACTTAATCAAGATGTGTGCATTGACCTTGAGATCAACACTTACACAATTATTTTGTTCCACCATATAATTTTGTTTCAAAGTGAATAAGACATACAACTGATGTTTCAAACTCAAACCTCAGATTCAATATGACTTTTTCTTATATATATATATATATATATATATATATATATATATATATATATATATATATATATATATATATATATATATATATATATATATATGATATGATATTCAATGTTTTGTAGATGAGTATGGAATTTATTTCACGAGTGGTACAGGATTTTTTGATATTTTCACGAGTGCGGAGCACGAGTGAAAATCCTGTTTATTACATTTTCTTTGATTTTTACTTTGCCTCTCTTTTCATAACCTAGTGTCAAAGGCTTGACGTCATAGTTGAGCGGTTGAGACGTCATAGCTTAGCAGTTGTGTGATTGAAAACATTACATAGCATGGATTTTAGCAACATATTTGGGAAGAAATTTGCAGATTTAGCTCTGTCAAGATACGTAGTTACTATTTCTATCTTATGACAGGCTAGAAATTATTTTTTACTTACTTTGATATCCTTTCACAATGTGAGAGAATATCATTTTGGTATCCTTTCACACTCTGAGAGAATATCACTTCTATTCAATAAATAAATCACAGTATTTCACTGTTGAAAAAGTTTGTTTTGTTTGTTTGTATGTTGTTTAACGTCCCTGTTGAAAAAGTAATATATATATATATATATATATATATATATATATATATATATATATATATATATATATATATATATATATATATATATATATATATATATATATATATATATACAGGTTTGTCCACATTTGAAAAATTAACCACAGAGGAAGCTGCGCGAAGGCGAAATGTGACCGAAAACACGAATGCATGTTTAGACTTTCTAACCTTCATTTATCAATAATTGGCTTCACAAAACCAATACTTTTTTATGCAAAAAAAAGATAATATTAATAATAATGATAAATAAATAAACAAAAAAAATTTAAAAAAAAAATTAGAAAGAATTATGTTTCTTAATTTACAAATCTACCAAAATTGACCCAAAACTGTAGGAACGTTTTGAAGGAATTAAAAAAAAAGTTAACAGGCACACAATCGAACAGACGAACGACCATAGACATCTTAACAATGCCTAAGATTTTTTTATCTTGATAGTCTATAAAAACTTACTGATGGCATACATGATAAAAGTATCATAACTTAATATATATTCCCTGGAGCAAAAACTTGACATAACTGAAATTTTGCTTTCTCTATTCTGTATTTTCTTAACGTTCTTTTTTTTCTACATATTGCATTTTTCGCCGAGTTTCCTCCATTTTTTACTTCTCCATGTGCCTCAGTGCTAGATTTTGCGCCATGCTACGTTTCATACAAACAGGAGGTAACTCTAAAAGTAAGACGACGATTGGCACTTACAGCTGTACGTAAATTCTATCAGAAATATAATAAAGTTAATACTTAAAAACAGAGCATGGGGAATTGATTTGATACAAAGGAATAGGAAATTTTGAAAGGGTTAATTTTTTTCTAGGCACAGAAACTTGAATGGGATGCATGTCGATTATCATGTTGTTGATCTTTTGTAAATCTGTTATCGTGAACACGTTGGAATTCCCGAAATTACATGTGTAAGGAAAATCAACTCTCAAGATATTGATCATCAGCTTATTGACTTCCCTTTGCCAAGCTTCACAGCATAGTCGTCGATCAACTACCGTGTTTAATTAGCACAGTCCGCTTTCTCTCGAGGTGCATGGAGGTCGTAGTATAAACACAATTAACTACTCAAGTCATTAAAAAGTAGGTGCCAATACTAAAATTCAATTGAAATTTAATCATGCCGGTCGCCAATTTTGCGGCGCTGCTCTACACTACACGGTCATTGAGAATAGAAGTGTGATACATTTATTTGGACATTAGTTTTTATTAGAGGATCGTTACCAATACACGTTGTAATGAAATCAATTTTTATTTATAAAGCACATTTTACAGCAACTCTTAAACTAACATAACTGCCCTAAGTGAAGATTAATTTCATTGCAACTTGTGAAGATTAATTTCATTACAACGTGTATTGTACATTTTTTTATTTACGAAGGTAAAGTAGAGCAATAAAACCAATTTCAGATTCAGGTTCTGCGTAATGATATGATGATGCTAATACCTATCACGAAAGTAAAAGAATTAAAAGTGATTCGAATATGCTTAAAAAAATATTTTGAAGCATAATCTGTTTTACCCGGAGACTGCGTATGGAGAACTACACAAATTGTATTAAATTAAATTAATCAATAAATCAAAATAAATGAAATAAATAAAATAAATAAATAAATGAAAAAAAAAAGACAAGATATATAAGCAGACAAATTAATCGATAAACAGATACATGAATAAATTAAATAAATAAAAAAAAAACCCAAAAAGAAATAAATAAATAGATAAATAAATAAATAAAAATATATTTACATGCCAAGACGTACACAAGACGCAATAAATCTGTAATTTATTCTTTTTAAAGTAACTGGCATTTATTCTTATTAAGATTTATCTGAAAAGCTACCAAAAAGCTACCAAACAATCAATACTATCATTTTGAAAGAATTTACTAAAGATATTTCAAACAGAAAAAAGCTAAAAATTAATGATTAAATCTATTTTTCACAAAACTTAAGAATTGCCAAGAATAAGGTATCAATTTTCCCCCAAGTATATAGCAGCAAAAACATATTTTAACCTTTTTTGGGTCAAAATAAATGTCAGGGACGAAAGGGAATTGAAAGGGTGGTCAGAGACTTAGTCAGGGGACATCAGAGAGTTGACAGGGACGTCAGGGAATGTCAAGGGACATCAGGGGTTAGACTGTGGTAACAGGGGCAAAGTCGGGGGATGTCAGACAGTAGACAGGGAAATCAGGGACAACGACAGGGGATCATAGGAGAAAGTCGGGAGGGGACAGGAAAATGCAAGGGACTGACAGGGGGACGTCAGAGGTTTTTTTTTGGAATCTAGGGGGAAAATCATTACAGTAGTGCTTGGGCATGAGGGGTGGGCTCAAAACTGCTAAAATTAATGCAATCTTGAAAAATTTTCTTTACTCCTTGAATTCAAGAAGTCAAACTGTTGACATGATTGTAATAAGCATTGAGTACCCTACCAAAATTGTAAAATTTATGGCCCCAGGGTTAGGGGTTCTTGGGCTAGGACACGGCTCTGTTGAATATATAGTGAAAATGCATTATTTCTTTAAAAAAAAATCTTCTCCTCTGCTCCTGGGTATTAAGCAAACAAACAATAGGCATAGTTATGATAAGGAAAATATTTTGAATATCATGGTCCCTGAGTCAGGGGTTCTGATATTAAGGCGAGGGCTCTAATGATTATGTAGTGAAAATGCATTAATTCTTTAAAAATCTTCTTTTCTGCTCCTGAACCCTTCACGGTAGCTCAGTCAGTAGAGCGCTCGCTCCCTGATCGGAAGGTCGTGAGTTCGAATCTCGGCCGCGACTGACCTAAGTCGATGAAAAACTGGTAGCAACTGTTCCTTCGCCACGTGCTCGGCACTTTGAAGTGAAAGTTGCGGGTCTTTCGGATGAGACTTTAAAAACCGACGCCCCATGTCACGGTAGGCGTTGGCACGATAAGGATCCCTCAGTGCTCAATGGCCCTGAGTGATGGTCAAAATTTGAAGCCCTTCACTTGTATATGGTGACGTCTCTATATGAGTAAAAAATTCTCGAATGGGACGTGAAACAACACACAATTAATCAATCAATCCTCAGCTCCTGGTTAGTAAGCCAAAGAACTAAATACATAGTTATGAGGAGGAAGTATGCCTCCTCCAAAATTGTGAATTTCATGGCCCAAGGATCAGGGGTTCTGTTGTTAGGGCGGGGCTCTATTGATTATATAGTGAAAATGAATTTATTCTTCAAAAATCTTCGCGTCTGCTCCAGGGTATTAAGTCGATGAACTAAATACAGAATTATGATGAGGAAGAGTGCCTCTTCTAAAATTGTAAAATACATTGCCCCCGCAGGTATGTTAAGGCTACACCAAGATATTCTACTTGCCTATACAATATGACGTCATAATAAGCTATATGACATGAGCTTTAGAGATAACAATTTCTCTAAAATTTATATTTTATTTTTTTTTTTAGATCCTAGAAATGAATAGAAACATACGGAGGCATAATATAAACTAAATCATGTCGTTTTGGGTGGTATAAATAGCTATGTATTTATAACAGGGGTTAAATGCCAAACTCGTGATGACATAACTACTGATCAAATATGCAATGATATCAATGTATAGGTATTAAATATTATGATAAGTTAATGTGCCTTTTTCTTTGCTTCTGAGTATCTAGGAGGCAAACACTAGCACAGAATTGTAATAGGTGAAGCAAATAAGAGTAACTTTCTTTGCTAAATTGTGTTAATCAAAAAATCCATGTATATAATTTAATTAACAGGTTATTTGATTGAATGACAATACAAGAAAAAATGTTATTTATATAGAAACAGAATAGATATGAATGTTTTGTTTAAATGGGCAAAGCATGCTCAAAGTCAGATTCTTGCCTGGAAAGCATTATAAAAGATTGACATAAAGATTATTTATATATTTAGCAAAAGTTGAAATTGTACACATTATTTTTACACTGAGGTGATCTGTTTGACAATGGATGAGGTATTATCAGGTAAATTCAAAGTTGACAAGAGACTGGATCAAGTTGCTTTATACTTTATGAAAGTGAACAAAGAATCACAGAGAGCCAGGGTGACTTGTTGTAATTAGTGACAAGTGGCAAATAGCCACGTTTTATACCCAAGTATGTGTGTACTGAATTGTAGCACTAGCCAAGTGACATATAATACCTTACACAATGGGCAAGTGTTCATTGTAATTGTCATATTTTGCATTCATTATCATCTCTCTAAGGCTAAGGGAAAAAAAGGTAGCACGCTACAATAAGCAAGAGTATTTTTACCGGATTTTTGAAATTTTTGGGCAACATTGCTTCGTTTATTTAATTTTGTTTTATACTTCTATGGATCCTTTACAGTGTTGTATTATACACAGGTGACTGTTAAGGCCCTTGGACCTCTTGTTATTCAAAAGTAGCTGTCAATGATACCAAAAACCTGTACTTTAATTTATCGTGTGGTATGGTTGTATATAAAGTTGCAAAGTTGTAAGTTTTTATGTTATTGATTTTGGTAAAATTTTGCGATTATAAATTTTCCAAAAGTTCCTTGGAATTTTTAAGTATCCACATCTGATTTACACCACTTCTTGAAATTATTGTTGCACGTACTCCTGAAGTTTCTCCTTCACTACTATTAATGTTTTAGTGAGGAGTAAAGAAAGAGGCTTTGTAGAACATTAACTGGAACGCACTATTTATCTTTGTTTGTAAATAGTTTTATGAAATTTCGGAATCCAATATGGATATGGTAATTCATATTCATGTTAGTTGTTGGGAATATTTAAGAAATTCAAAACTGACATGTGATTTTGAAGAATTTCCTCCTTAGAAAGAGAGCTTTGGGTATAAGTTAGTTTTACTATTTGTAGAATTAAATGCCAGTTCCTCTACAATTTAAATGATGAGCCTTACAAACAAAGACAATGTTGTTACCTATTTTGTCAGCAGGGACCAATACGGATCGTGTAAGCTCTATAATCCTTTTTTTTCACTTGTGAATTATTGAACACAGAAGGATAGTTGGTTTTCATTTTGCCCCTCAATGGACGAAAAACAAGCAGAGAGAGTAAAAAGTGATCCGTGAAATCATGACATAGTCGTACAATACTTGGTTTTATTCAAGAAGGTTATTGTACTTTATTTCTCGTATAAAACATTTTCGTTTTTTATTCGTTATCTGAAAGTAGGCATGGATGTAGTCTTCTATAGAGTATTTCATAAAAGATATCGTTACTTTGCCTTTACTTCCATGTACGTATATATTCATATTTTTGGACAGGCCATTATTGAAAATATATTGTTGTATCACTTCTCTTACTTCCATTTGATTTCTTTTAAAGTACAACGTTCATTCGAAACCACAGACATAATGATTGCTGCATTGATCTGAAATTATGTAACTGTGAATCGTTTTCTCCACGAGAATAAGAAGTACACATAGAGTAATCAGACATATTGATTTATTCTGCATATATTTTTGTCAAGCAGAATCACACAAGGAGTACATAGGGTTATATTGATTTATGCTTATGTTTATGTCAAGAAAAAAAAAATCGAAAAGAGAAAAAACATTCTCTTCCAAAGTTAGATCCACATGTATGATAGATAGGTTATTTTCAATCCATAACAAGCACAGACATGATTGTATGTACTAAAAATGATAAACGTATAACTCAATAAAGGGAGTCTAAGACAAACACAGTTTAAAATGTTACTATTGGTACTATTTCCATGAATGTTTTCGTATGATAATTATTTTCGTGAAACACTGACAGAATAATTATTTGGGCGGAGGGAGGGGTAAAATAAATTTTATAATTTTTTTTAAATTTCCAGAGGTGTTCGTGAAAATCAAATGTTATAAAGAAATTCGATTGGCGTTAAAACAGCTGAAGATATATATCAGACAAAATGAAGAAATGCAATTTCTTATTGACGTGTAGGTTTAATTGCTAAAATTATGTTTTTGTTTAATCAAGATAGTTAATTAAAGTATATAATTTCTTAGCGTATTATATTTGATACATTTAAAGTATAAAAAGAGGAATCACTAGACAATGCTATGAATAAATGTTTTAACATTCTCAAACTATTTTTGTGATGGGTATTTTTCAATATTTATAGATACAACTCTAGAAAAAGATATTCTGGAGAGTTGGAGGGAGGATGACAGAATGTTTGTCCCAACAACAGCAAGTGAATTTGTAGAAGAAAAAATTAAAAGTCAAAATCTGGTTACGGTTGTTGGAAACTCTGGATGCGGAAAAACAGCAATTATTCAACACATCGCACTTAAGTATAAAGAAGAGAAAGGATGGGATATCAAACCTGTCGATGAGGTGAAAGAAATTAAAGAAATAGGTTCACCTGAATTCTTGCCAGATAATCAGACACTGTTTGTTCTAAATGATCCTATTGGTAAGGAGACATTAGACGACATTTCATATAATTCATGGAAAACGTATGAGAAAACGCTAGCGAATTGCTTAAAGAAGGTTAAATTATTGGTGTCATGTAGAAGAAGTGTCATGAATGACAAGAGATTGGAAGGGATTCTCAAAAAGGACTCAAACATAGTAGAAATTGACAGCGAGAAATGGAAACTATCGGAGGAAGAAAAAAGGCAGATCTTAAATAAATACTGTCAACATATGGATATATCTGAAGGGAATGTCAGGGAAATGATCAAAACGGAAGCTTATTTTCCCTTGATTTGTAAGTTTTTTTCACTTCACCCGAATTACAGGGAGAAAGGAGTAAATCTCTTTAAAAATCCCTTTCTGTTCATAAGACAGGAAGTCGAATATTACAAGAAATTGGACCAAAAAAAATATTGCGCCTTACTTTTGATCGTGGTATTTAACAATAATTTAAATGTTCATTCTTTTAGAAAAGATGAAAGCTCTTCACAAAAATATAAAGACATTTTAAGAATATGTAAACTTAAAGAAAACACGCAGGTTTCAGACATTTTCAATACTTTAGATGAAATGAATGGATCGTATGTTAAATGTGTCGGGCATGTTTTCCAATTCCTTCACGACTTTATTATGGAGATAACGACATTGGTGTTTGGTATTGATTGTCCACGAGAAACAATACAGTACGCCGACAGTGGTTTTTTGCGAAGACGAATGAGAATAGAAAACGATACAGAAGAGGAAGATCGCGATCCCTTCATTGTTTACCTGCCTGAAGAGTACATTGGTGATCTTGTAGACAGGTTTATTATTGATATGCAAACAAAACACCTTTTAGATGTTTTACTCAACCCATGTTTTAGAAATGAGAATGTGGTCAAATCTTTTAAGGAAAAAGTGGATTCGTCCGAAAAGCTTCTGGTAACAATTAAATGTGAAATAGACGAAAAAGAATTTCCAAAATCATTTGAGGGCACTGGTTTTTCTAGACTTTGTTTACTTGATAGGCAGGATGAAATATGTCCTTTGATTGGACTTATCGTATTTTGTCACACTGAAATTTCTTCATTTTTCTTAAACAGTATCCCTGAAACGAAGTTGAAAGAATATCCTATATTCTCTGCCATGTGTGCAAATGGCGATTTAAACCTGAAAGAAATTCTCAGCGAGGGATTTAAAAAAAGAGCCATAAAAGAAATGTGGGATGACTTTTTACCAATTCACATTGCTTCTGTATTTCATAACTTTCCAATAATTGAGGAATTAGTAAGACTCGGTACTGATGTTAACAAGTTCATCACTGAATATAAATTGACTCCATTATTATTAGCTGTTGCAAATGACGACGAACATTTTAAAGAAGCTGGCATGGATACAAATGAGGGGGAAAGACGTAATGCAACCATTATTTGCTTATTAAACAACGGCGCCGACATCAATCACTGTAACAATGATGGAGCCAGTCCCCTTTATATAGCTTGTGAAAATGGACATGGTACCACGGTACAACTTTTACTGAACAAAGGTGCCGACATCAACCTATGTAACAACAATGGAGCCAGTCCTCTTTATATGGCTTGTCAAAATGGACATGATAGCACGGTTCAACTGTTACTGAACAGCGGTGCCGAAATCAATTTATGTAACAAAGACGCAGTCAGTCCTCTTCTCATAGCTTGTCAAAATGGACACGACAGCACAGTACAAATGTTACTGAACAACAATGGTGACATCAATTTATGTGACAAGAATGGAGTCAGTCCTCTTTATATTCCTTGTCAAATTGGACATGATAGCACGGTACAACTCTTACTGAACAACGGTGCCGACATCAATTTATGTTGCAACGATGGAGACAGTCCTCTGTGGATATCTTGTCAAAATGGACATGATAGCACGGTACAACTGTTACTGAAAAACGGTGCCGACATCAATTTATGTGATAATAATGGAGTGAGTCCTCTTTATATAGCTTGTCAATATGGACATGATAGCACTGTACAACTGTTACTGAACAACGGTGCCGACATCAATTTATGTGATAATGATGGAGTGAGTCCTCTTTATATAGCTTGTCAATATGGACATGATAGCACTGTACAACTGTTGCAGGACAACGGAGCCAACATCAATCTATGTTGTAATGATTGAGTCAGTCTTCTTTGGATACCTAAACCGTACTGTCCAACTATAAATTTACAATGACGCTCATCAATCTTAGCACACTAGTATGCCAAAATTCCTCTTTCCAAAAACTATTATTGTCTAGATTACTTGTACTAATTCTAAGCAAATCCGAGTCATTTCTAATTTATAAACTGTATTTGTTGAAAAATTAAGGGATTTTTCTAATAGAAATGATTCACACATACAACTGTATCAGTTTTTGTCTATCAAATGGTAGAGTATAGAGATTTTGATGAAGCAACTAAGTTTTGAAATGTTTCATTTGCATGCTTAAATAATTCTTGCTGAAAAATTGTGTTATTGTGAAAAACTCGTACTCTAATGTTTCATGATCTTACGATACATACTGGGTTCCAGTAAATGTTCTTCCAAGCCTCTTTCTTTACTCTTCATTAAAATATTAATAGCGATGAAGGAGAAATTTCAGGAGTACTGTGCCACAATATATTCGAGAAGTGGTGTAAATCAGATGTGGAAACTTAAAAATTCCAAGGAACTTTTAGAAAATTTAAAATCACAAATTTCACCAAAATCAATAACATCAAAACGTACGACTTTTCGACACTTTATAACACTGTTCCCCACGATTAGTTAAAGTCCAGGCTTTTTGACATCGAAGGCTGCTTTTTCAATAAAAATGGAACCCGTAGATTTACTTACCTTGTCTTGGGTCATTTTGTAAAATTATGTTTTTAAATAGTATTCTGATTGTACACACAAGTACTCTGAAGGTGAAATAAAATGATGCTTGATTTTCTGATTGTCAATATCTATGTGGTTTTTGGAGACCATTTTTTCCAACACTCTGTTGGAATACCTATGGGTACAAATTGCTCCCCGTTATAAGCAGATTTATTTTTGTATTCATATGAAGCAGAATTTATTCAGAATCTTATACACGAAAAGAAGAAAACACTTGCTGTGGTCTTTAACTCGGCATTAAGATATATCGACGACGTAATATCAATTAACAATAGTTATTTCCATTCATATGTCGACACGATATATCCCGGTAAGCTTGAAATAAAAGATACCACAGATTCTGACACATCTCATCTGTTTCATATTTGGATATTTTACTTGAAATAGACGTTAATGGTAAGCCAACAACAAAGCTTCATGATAAACTTGATGACTTCAACTTTTCAATCGTCAACTTCCCTTACTTATGTAGCAATATCCCCTTTTGACCTGTACATGGGGTTTATATCTCTCATTAGATTCGATATGCAAGAGCATGCTCTACGCATGAACACTTTCTAAAACGAGGTAAGTTATAGACAAACAAGTTGATGAAATAAGAAATTCAACAGTCTCGTTTAAAGTCATCATTTCTTAAGCTCTGTGGTCAATACAATATCCTTGTCAGCAAATACAATCTATCATTAAGTCAAATGCTGACTAACGTTTTTCATACCAATTGTTAGATCATTATTTATACACCGAATTGTCGACGGATTTTTTCATTATTTATCATAACAAGGAGCATACAGCGGGTGGGTCAGGTCGGCAGGGGATGCTCACTCCTCCATGGCACCTGATCCCACTTCTGATGTTTTAGAGATCCGTGTTTGCTCTCTTGTTCATTTGTATATTTTGAATGGACTTTTGAGCTTAAATACTGTTCGTTATCTCCACATTTCATACTATGATCAGATGAATTAATGTTACAGGAATTTACACAATCTCGATTAAAGTCGGCATTTCGTTAATTGTATTGTCGTTATAATGTCCTTATTAGCATGTATAACCTATAACTTGGTGATATTTTCTCTGACCCCTTTCATACCAATTGTTAGGCCTTTGGTGTTTTTTTTAAATACTGTATTTGACTACGGAATGTTCCGTCTACCTTATCAACACTTGTGACATGACCCGGCGAGTTTTCCTTTGAAGTCAGCCGTACAATAACTGCGATACAGGACACTTTTATTGGGCGTTTCTCATGCAAATGAGCAGAAACTGTACTGTATCTGAAAAATATCAACGATACAGTACGGTTTATTTTTAGCGATGACGGAAAACTGAATCCGTATCTTAAATGATATAGACATAAGAATTCATAGCGCTGTAGGTATTTATTCAAAATTTGAAATGAATTAAGATTAGAAATTTACAACCTAAAGTTACCCGTGGCGGATTCAAAAATTTAAGAAAGGAGGGAGTGAGGGCAGTACACAACTGGTTTTCTTCGAAAAAAAAAATGTCCAGAACTGGAAAATCGGGAGTTTCGTGGGGTGTAGATTCATAATCAGGCCTGACACTATATGTGCGTGATCGTTTCGTGTTGATAAATTAAAAGTAAATACAAGTTTAGCAAACATAATTTACGAAAAGCAAAAAAGAAAAAAATCGAAAGGGGGGATATCGACGCGCACGAGTTAGTGCTGGATCTGCCTTTGGTTCCTCTACATTTTGTTTCAAACATGAAGCTAATATATGCCCCCCTTTCTTACATCTGTTTATTTCAATTTGAAGCCAAGAATTTTGTATACACATGTATGACAACCGGTCGATGACATTGTCGGACATTTCTGTCAGAATACGACCTCCCCGAAACATATTTGCTTCAAATACATTCCCATATATGATTCTTATGTATCAAAATGTTCTGCACTAAATTCGTACCTTAGATTTTTTTTAAAAAGTCAGCAAGAGCTAAATAGAAAGGAAATAAACCCTAAGCAATCAAATATAAATTAAATTTTGGAAAAACACATTGTATAATGTATCTCAAAATTATAATTATCTAAATTGATAGATACCTGCACGTCCACCTCACTCGGCATTTCAGTTGCGATTGCTAAAAAATGGGGTACTAAATCAACTTTCTGCAAATTCATCTGATTGGTTGAGAGATATATACCCAAATACACATGTAAATTAGCGAGGTCATAAGAAAGGTCATGTCACAAGTCATTTAGAGTACTCGTTTCCTACTGTATCGGAGATACAGGGCGGAGCCCGGCTCGAGCTATCGCTCTCGCCTTAAGCCCCGCCCTGTATCTCCGATCAGTAGGAAACTCGTACTCTGAATATAACATAGGGCTGTTTGTCATATTCACCTTTTTCATACATGTATTTGATTTCACATATATTTATATATATTCCCATTTATTACTATTAGCATGTAAGGGTGGGATGTGCTCTAATTTATGGCCTTGAATTTTGGTAAAAGTTATCTCCCTCTGTTTTTATTAATAAAAAAAAATCAATTTTAAAAATCTTAACTCGTAAAAAAAAAACATCATTTTTTATTGTCATTCTATTTCTAATGTGTTTTGGTGCATTTTTTTCACCGCAATATTTATTGACATTCTATAATTTGAATTCTTATTTTTAAAAATTTGCTCCATAGACTTCAATGCAATCTTTGTTAAGTACTTAAGTTCTGGGTGTTGTAAAACTGAAGAAGAATGAGGCAATTGGTTCTTATCTATCAACGGGAACCTTACAGGGAGAAACACGGTGCAAGTAGTACCTTACCCAGTCCCCATCTCTAGATAAAAGAGAAAATTTAAATACAATGTGACATACCCTCTGACATAGCTGTCCAATCATGAACTCAGACAGAGTAAAAGGAAAACCTATATGTCCCTTGTAAGAACCTGATCGTACACGTTACATAGGAAATATCTTTGAAATCTTCTCATCAACAACTCAGCCATTATTAGTAATATATATATATATATATATATATATGTGTATATATATATATATATATATATATATATATATATATATATATATATATATATATATATATATATATATATATATATATATATATATATATATATATATATATATATATATATATATATATATATATATATATATATATAGTCAATTCTCGAATTATCGCCTTTCGATTTATCCGCAGTACAGTTAAGGCAACATTTTCTATAAAAAGGCACCAAATACGAGACACTTAAAGTTCATCCGTCTTATTTTTTAGCATGAAACTCTATCTTAAATATCTTAATGGCTTTATGAAGAGTTTGTCCATCGCTTTTGACACCGGTATTTTTTGTCATCATGTGACCCTCTACAGTCACGTGAGCTCTGATTCTAGGTCAAAATATGAAATGTCAAATTTATCCAAAAAGTGCAAGGGCAAGGCATACAATATTTGAACTGTACAATGTTTCATTGTGTCCCTTAGTATCTATCCTATCGAAAAACTGATGCTCATTCAGTCAGATTTCTGAGATATTTAAGTTATTCATTGAAAACAAACACCAGTCTTCAAAATTGGGTATTTTTCATCATTTAATCGGAAATTTTAAATTGCCTAATGAATTACAAAGAAATGAGCATCACTTTTTAAAAACTATACAGTAACGTAAAGAATTTAACATAAAAACCTACCTCTTGGGTTGTCACCTTGCCCTTGCACTTTTTGATTAAAAATTGAAATCTTAAGACATTCATTCTAAATATAGTTTTGAAACGCATCATTGACCCAGCATGGGAGATAACTCTGTGGTACTTAATAGAGTTTGTGTACCTCGCAAATTTTGAATAAATAATACCTACGGACTGTGCTGGGCTTTATTTCATTAAATCAAATCGGTATGCATAAAAAATATCCTTGACTTTACTTTGTTTTGTATATCTTCGTTCTTTTATACGCTACACAAGACGTATTTGACACCTACCGCATTTCCTCCGTTCGTCAACAATAGGCCTAAAATTTGCCGCAACATCATGTAAATCAATTGGAAAATGCCCAAGGTTAAAAATATTGAAAGATTCAATCATTTGTAATATAAAATAACAGCCGCTATCAATGATAAAATATTTATTCTTCCCCAGTAGACACACAGAAAAAATATCTCCAACAGAACTTAGTTTTTTTTTGTTTTTTTAATATATATATATATATATATATATATATATATATATATATATATATATATATATATATATATATATATATATATATATATATATATATATAT